AAGTTTCATTACACTGAGTCCCATTAGCACACGTTTCATTACACTGAGTCCAATTACACCGAACCCATTACACTGAGTCCCATTACACCAAGTCCCACTACACGTCCCATTACTCCCAGTTTCATTACACTGAGTCCCATTACACTGAGTCCCATTACACCGAGTCCCATTACACCGAGGTCCACTAAGAATTTGCAAGTTGGTGGACCGTGCCCACTGAACGATACATTTAATGTAGCTAGTCCTGCAGAAGAAGAATAGATGGATGACTTTTTTTTTTTAATATTCCATTTCCAGACAGAATGCGAATAGGTTGAACGTTTGGTTGATCGGATCTGCAAGGCTTAAACGGATATTGTTGCCATATTGGCTGAAAACCGTCGTACCGAGTTCTTATGCATTGTCCCATCTCAGAATGTACGTCATGCCAGTATCGGTCTAGTCCATGCAGATCTTCGCCAAGAAGACATCCACACAAATTACAGCTCTCTTTGTCAGCCAAGAAAATAAAAGACAAGGATTATCCATAAATCATTTAACTCTGGAGTAGTTACCGTATAAATGGATCAAAATGATTACAGGTTTACTTATTATTATTTTTAACACACAGTTTGTATGTGTGTGTGGGGGGGGGGGATAGAGTGCGGGTTCTGTGATCTGTTTGAGAACTACTGACTCATTCGAACCCAGCCAGTGGCTGGCGGGACTTTTTGATCAAGTCTTAAATTAAGTAGAAATCAATGAAGCAATGGCTCTAAAATTGTATTATATAAACAAACGCGTCTCCATGGAAATTGTAGGAGAACCTGCCATAATGGAATGGGATATGTATGTGATAATGTTATGACTGCTCCACACAGTATAAGTTGCGGGGGGGGGGGGGAAAAAAAGGGACGGCTCAAAAGGGGCTGAAATGTGGACCTGATTTTCAGACAAAGTCAATAAATTAGATGCAACTGTTACCGCTGCTCAAAATTGGAAAAAAAAAAAAAGGGGGGGGGGAATCAAATTCTCTATACCGTGTAGTTGACAGTTTGGGTGGACTGCACCAGGCGCAAGGCTAACAACTTAAACATTAAGCCACATAGTTAGCAATGGAGATGTTAAATTGGCCACGCCAATAATTTAAAAAAAATAAATTAATCAGAATTTTAAAAAAAGGACATTGACTTTTCCCTCCTTGTATAGAAAGGACATTGACTTTCCCCTCCTTGTATAGAAAGGACATTGACTTTTCCCTCCTTGTCTAGGACATAATTAATTAGTATTTCTGGCATGGGTTTTTATTTTTTTTTAAAATGATAAAAACTGCAATAATTTGACTCAGTGTTAACTCAACAAAACATTTTGTTTAAAAAAAAAACAAATTCTAAGACGAGTTTAAACGTAATAAAAAGTAGAAAATAATTTCAAATTTCTTAAAATGCGAAACGAAACGAAATTCTGTGCAGAAAATATGGTCAACAATTATTAAAATTAAAACCTATTTCAATTTCGGCTTCATTCATTTGGAAACCATGGATTATACAAATTGCTCATCTTCACTTCTGAGAGTCTTTAGTTATTTTTTTTTAAAACTGTAATGAAAATCAAACACAGAAAGTCTTGTTTATTTATCAGTCAAAAAAATTATTTACAGTTTTTCAATACCTAGATAATGCGATAAATGCGTGGATGGAGAGCGGTGTGTGTGTGTGGGGGGGGGAGGGTGGTGGAATAGAAAACACCAGCCGCCTTCGTTGCTTAGCGTGTGCCCTTATTCCAAAAGCCCAAAACAGGTTTAAAACCGGATCTCTAAAACCGATGACCAGTTTGCCGAAACAAAAAAAGGAACATCCATTATTGTTACCGAAGTCGAACTTGAGTTGTTAACGAACAGAACACGAACTTCTAAAACAGTGTTCGATTCACATCTCTAGTGACTAAAACATTATTCCAGCCAGGGTTTCTTTCATGAGCTAAATCTCCCGGGGGGGGGGGGAGCCAGGGGCCCCCTCGGAGCACAAATATGTCCAAAAATAAACCAACTGGCACTGCTGGCACTGCTGGCAAAACATTATTCCAGCCAGGGTTTCTTTCATGAGCGAAATCCCCCGGGGGGGGGGGGGAGCCAGGTGCCCCCTCGGAGCACAAATATGTCCAACAATAAACCAACTGGCACTGCTGGCACTGCTGGCACTGTCCCCCGAAAAATTTGCAGTGCCTCCCTGGGGGAAAATTTCTGATATAATCACGGATTCCAACCACTGGCCAGCTAAGTTTCATTTTTTTTCTTTCTATCATTCCCTCTGGTTCTCATTTAGTCAGCTGGCGAAGGCATTTAGCCGAACATCGATTTGATTACCTTGTCTTTTTCCTTTCAAGCTTTCACCTATCCTATTCTTGATTATCCTAAGATACAAATACTGATTTTTTGCTCTTGAGTTTTCAAAGTCAAATTCGCCACCAATCGCTACCAGTCGCCAGTCAGTTGTCCATTCTGACACATGCGTCACAACCCAGAGGTACACGATGTACAACAAGATCCTCAAACTTTTTAAACAAGAGGCCGGATCAGTGTCCCTTTCACAGTGTCTATGCACACTGCACATATCTCAGTTCTATGCACGCTGCACTTATCTCTATTATATGCACACTGCACATATCTCAATTCTATGCACGCTGCACTTATCTCAGTTCTATGCACACTGCACAAAACTCAGTTCTATGCACACTGCACATATCTCAGTTAAATGTACACTGCACATATGTCAGTTCTAGGCGCAATGCACAAATCTCAATTCTATGCGTACTGAACATATCTCAGTTCTATGCACACTGCACATATCTCTATTCTATGCCCACTGCACATATCTCTATTCTACGCACTTTGCACATATCTCAATTATATGCAAACAGCACATATCTCAGTTCTATGCACATATCTCAATTCTATGCCCACTGCACATATCTCTATTCTACGCACTTTGCACATATCTCAATTATATGCACGCTGCACATATCTCAGTTCTATGCACACTCCACATATCTTATTTGTAGTGAAAAGATAAACAACTTGATGAAACATAAACTTACTTAAAATGAAGAAAAAATATATCCAACTTAACCTTAATCGTATTATAAAGGGAAGTAAGTCTAATGGGATGATCCATGTCTGGTTACATTTATGTCACTGCTAGCCAGGTACTCTTACGGTCGTCAGTAGGGACGGATTTAGGACCTCTGGCGGACCAGATCTGTCCCGCGAGAGGTATTCTCAGGACCCCTGATGTACAGTTTCATTTTTATTTGTCTTTTAACGGTGACTTGTCAGACGATAAGATGGAATAAAAAAACAACAACACTATAAACAAAGAGTTCAAATATCGAGTGAAATGATTTAATCAAAATTTTAGACATAGGGATGTCATATGATGGTTTGAAGACAGGAGCAATTGATGAATACACTTGAATGAAAGTAACAACGACTTTGTGGATATACATGATTGAAAGTAACAACGACATAATGGATATCATGAATGAATGTAACAACGACATAATGGATATCATGAAATGAATGTAACAACGACATGATGGATATCATGAATGAATGTAACAACGACATGGGGGATATCATGAATGAAAGTAACGACGACATGATGGATACATACCAATGAAAGAAACAACATTCAAAAAATGCATCAACACATGCCACAATATATTGTAGTTAACTAATATTGTGAATAATGTCTACAGTATGTCATTGGAGATATCCAGTTTTCAAGGAATGTAAGAAAGACAAAAATTGTACTGAAATTATTATGAAATTATTTGAGCCAAATCATAAAACATGGAGAAAAGGAAAACATTTCTTATTATGAAATTATTTGAGCCAAATCATAAAACATGGAGAAAAGGAAAACATTTCTTATTATGAAATTATTTGAGCCAAATCATAAAACATGGAGAAAAGGAAAACATTTCTTATTATGAAATTATTTGAGGCAAATCATAAAACATGGAGAAAAGGAAAACCTTTCCTAAAGTTATCGTTTACCTTGTGTGGCTTAACGTAACGCAATATCGAGTTACCTGTAACATTATTTGTAGTTATCTGTAACAGTATATTGAGTGGTCTGTAACATTCGCCATGCTGTGGTCTCGACAAGACGTTAGTGGAATTACTCCTCCTGGAGCCATTATTTCCCCTGTCAGCCAATACTTCACAAACTTGTGTCACAACGCGGGCATGACGTCATAACGCGGCATGACATCACGGCTATATTCCCATACTGGACAGCTCCCTGGACATCTGACACATAGCACAGCACAGACAGCATGTTGTGACCAGACAGTCACGGCATATGGACCCCTGTGATTGGGAAGATCGGATATATTTTAGATACATGAAATTGTAATATGGTTATCAGAACCGAACTGCTTCGCCTAGGCCAATGGTAAATTATTGTTCATACCTAAATAATTTTAGTGTTCATTAGAAATTGGTTTTAATTTTATCATCATCAGGTAATAGTTTCATGGAATGTAGATTCTTTTTAAAATTGTAATATTTGAAAGATTATTTTAAGATTGTAAGATTTTAAAGATTATTTTAAGATTGTAAGATTTTAAAGATTATTTTAAAATTGTAAGATTTGAAAGATTATTTTAAAATTGTAAGATTTTAAAGATTATTTTAAAATTGTAAGATTTGAAAGAATATTTTAACATTGTAAGATTTGCAACATTATTTTAAAAGTAAAAGAACGTCAAAGGAGTTTTTTTTTTTTAAATCACTAAGTCTTTCCGGTATGGGGGGGGGGGTTATAATTTAGAAAACATGATAAGCCTTATCTGTTAGACAGAATGGCCTATATTGAAGAGGGAATATGCCGAAGTCTCGGAGTGGGAAGAAGATGCAAGCCAAATTCCCGAGCGGTGAAAGTGCAAATCTTCCATTTTAAGCGTGTGTGTGTTTGTGTGCGTGGGGGGGGGGGCGGGTTGGACACTTACCTTGATTCCACCCATGGTCCTTATTTTGGTTCTCAGTGTCGTGACAGCGCCGGGCACGCAGCACGTGACCAGGCCACATTCGTCCAGTCTGTTGGAAACCTTGGCCATCAGCAACGGCAGACAAAACACGCCCATCAGACCTGTCAATCAAACAACGGCAGACATAACACACCCATCCGACCTGTCAAAGGGGAACATAACACAAGCAGCGCAGAAAGAAATAAGCGGACTCTTTGACTAATGCTGTCACATCACTTATTGTTACTGGCACATCCCTTATTGTAACTGGTACATCACTTATCGTTACTGGCTTATCACTTATTGTTACTGGCATATCACTTATTGTTACTGGCACATCACCTATTGTTACTGGCACATCACCTATTGTTACTGGCACATTATTTATTGTTACTGGCACATCATCTATTGTTACTGGCACATCACCTATTGTTACTGGCACATTATTTATTGTTACTGGCACATCACATATTGTTACTGGCACATCACATATTGTTACTGGCACATCCCTTATTGTTATTGGCACATCATTTATTGTTACTGGCACATCACTTATTGTTACTGGGACATCACTTATCGTTACTGGGACATCACTTATTGTTACTGGAACATCACTTATTACTGGCACATCACTTATTAGTATTTGGACATCACGTATTAATACTTGGACACCACATGTTATTTCTGGGACACCACTTGTTATTACTGGGACATCACTTGTTATTCCTGGGACATCACATATTATTAATGGGACATAATTTATTATTACTGGGACATAACTTATGTGATTCCCAGTAATAATAAGTTATGTCCCAGTAATAACATGTTATGTCCCAGTAATAATATTACTGGGAAAATAACTTGTTAATACTGGGACACCAAATATTACTGGGACATCACATATTATTTCTGGGAAATCACTTATTATTACTGGGACAAAACTTATTATTACTGGGAATCACATGTTATTACTGGGACATAACTTATTATTAATGTGACATAACTTATTATTACTGGGACATCACATGTTATTTCTGGGACAACACTTGTTATTACTGGGACATCACTTGTTACTACTGGGACATCACTTGTTATTACTGGGACATCGCTTGTTATTACTGGGACATCGCTTGTTATTAGGGGACATCGCTTGTTATTACTGGGACATCGCTTTTTATTACTGGGACATCACTTGTTATTACTGGGACATCGCTTGTTATTACTGGGACATCGCTTGTTATTAGGGGACATCGCTTTTTATTACTGGGAATCACTTGTTATTACTGGGACATCACTTGTTATTACTGGGACATTATTTATTATTACTGGGACATCACTTGTTATTACTGGGACATTATTTTTTATTACTGGGACATCGCTTGTTATTACTGGGACATTATTTATTATTACTGGGACATCACTTGTTATTCCTTGGACATAACTTATTATTACTGGGACATCACTTATTATTACTGGGACATCACTTGTTATTCCTTGGACATCACTTGTTATTCCTTGGACATAACTTATTATTACTGGGACATAACTTATTATTACTGGGACATCACATATTATTACTGGGACAGCACTTATTATTAATAGGACATCACTTATTACTACTTGGACATTACTTATTATCACTTTGACATAACTAATTACCCATTGAACATCACTTATTATTACTTGGAAATCATTTGTTATTACTGGGACACTCTTTTTTTAATCTGTTTACCGAAACACTCTAATGTTACTGTAGCACTCTAATGTAACTGTAGCACTCGAATGTTACTGTAGCACTCGAATGTTACTGTAGCACTCGAATGTTACTGTAGCACTCTAATGTGTCGGTCCCACTCTAATGTTACTGTACCACTCTAATGTTACTGTAGCACTCTAATGTTACTGTAGTACTCTAATGTGTCGGTCCCACTCTAATGTTACTGTACCACTCTAATGTTACTGTACCACTCTAATGTTACTGTAGCACTCTAATGTTACTGTAGCACTCTCATGTTACTGTAGCACTCTCATGTTACAGTAGCACTCTCATGTTACTGTAGCACTCTCATGTTACTGTAGCACTCTCATGTTACTGTAGCACTCTAATTTTACTGTAGCACTCTAATGTTACTGTAGCACTCGTTACTCTAGGACTCTAATGTTACTCTAGCACTCTAATGTTACTCTAGCACTCTAATGTTACTCTATCACTCTAATGTTACTCTAGCACTCTAATGTTACTCTAGCACTATAATGTTACTCTAGCACTCTTATGTTACTGTAGCACTCTAATGTTACTGTAGCACTCTCATGTTACTGTAGCACTCTCATGTTACTGTAGCACTCTAATGTTACTTTAGCACGCTTATGTTACTGTAGCACTCTTATGTTACTGTAGCACTCTAATGTTACTTTAGCACTCCATTTTGTTAATGAAACACTCTCGATTGCCACTGGAACACACCCCTAATTCACCTATTAAATCCTCTTTGACTTCCTTTATATTTGGTTACGGGAACTTTGTCCGAACACAATTTCATTTTTAAATCTAGCCATAGTTAGCTACACTTAAGTCTAGCCATAATTAGCTACAATTCAATCTAGCCATAATTAGCTACAATCAAATCTAGCCATAATTTAATACAATTATGTTTAGCCATAATTAGCTAAAATTAAGTCTAGCCATAATTAGCTAAAATTAAATCTAGCCATAATTAGCTACAATCAAATCTAGCCATAATTAGCTACAATCAAATCTAGCCATAATTAGCTACAATTAAATCTAGCTATAATTAGTTACAATCAAATCTAACCATAATTAGCTACAATTAAGTCTAGCCATAATAAGCAACCCTTAAATCTAGCCATAATTAGATACCATTAATCCTAGCCATAATTAGCTGCATTTAAATCTAGCCATAATTGTGGACACTTACATCCACTCAAATCATTGAGACAGGAGCAGAGACCGGAGTGCCATTCCCGTGATTGAAGTTTGTCTTTAGGGATGAGCAACAAAGTATTCCCGGCTGCCCCGGGCTGCTGGACAACCACGGTGTTTGAGTTGACGACGGACTGGGTCTGTGGGTTGGCGAAAGTGGGGGCGTACCGAGGGGGTACATACAGCGGGGGGAGGTACGACGGCAACTCGTAGGCTTGCTGTCCTTGGGACATATCCTGAGGGTGGGCTCTCGTCTGGTTGTGTGACATTGTTAGACTCTGTGGAGTGTGGACATCATGTCATAGATTTTTACAGACATCATGTCATACATTTTTATTTGAATTTTGAAGTCGTTAGTCATATGAAGAGAAAGTGAAACGGATTAGTGCAAATGCAATTAAATTATTAGGTTAACATCTGAAGATAAGAATTGAGGAGGAAATCTTGGCTGTCTGCATAGAACATGAGTGAGGTATAAGAAGGTTGATGACGCGGAAGTCACAAAATTTAACTTGTGTAAATGATGTATACATTTTGCGCCATTTTACACCCATTGGCGTCGATAGGGTAAATGCCGCACGGGGTGGGTCGATAATTGTGCCCCCCCCCCTTTTCAAATAAAAAAAAACTTGCTTTTTGCCGAAAATCTCGCCCCTCCAAATAATGAATAAAAGTGCCGCCAGGGCCGGACCACCCCCCCCCCCTCCACATCTCCCGTCTTACGCCACTGAATGAGCCAAAAGTACTTAAAATTATGAATTCGAATGTTATGAGAAATACGAACAAATAATAATAATTAAGTGTTATATCTAAGATATTCAGCAAGGGAAATATAAACTCTAACGAAGTAATGTTAAGTGTTGAAGTGAAGCCCGATACTGTTAACAGACGATAATCAAAACTTACCTGTCTGAATTGGCCAGTGTAAAACAGATGATCATTTGACTTTTTGAGTTGTGTGTGTGTGAGATTGTAGGACGCCTCATTGGTCACTCAGCTCACAACAAACACCATCTTACACATCAAGGTGTAAACACGTGACGTCATCGACGTGTATCTGAACAGGATTACGTGGCATTCCTCCTCCAGATTCACTCGTATAAATGGGGGGAGAAAAGTCTATTCGAATGGCCACCTTCCACTCAAATTCCATTCCCCCCCCCCTCCCGGCCCAGATCCGAGGAGAATGGTGCCCGTTCTTACTCAGTATTGGTTGCTTCTATTTGATAGGTCTTGAGCAAGTAATAAAAAAACATTTTTCAATATTCTATACCATACAATTGCATTTCTATCATCTATTAGAAATGAAGCAATGACTTAACCATGTAAAAAACAACACACCAGGAAAGTAATCCCCAAATACAAGAGACTTTCCAATCGATATTATGGGAAAAACAATGGCCGGGCAAAACTTTCAAAGGGTGCACGGAGGGGAAAATGACACAAACACTCTAACATGACAAGGGTGGGGATAGTGGTACCCCTTCAGACTTGAGTATGGACCTCATCGGAGTCTGACTGCTCAGGTGACACCTTGTTCAGGTGGTAGCCTGCTCCCTTGACAGAACGATTGAGTTAAGTCAAGAAATAAAATAATGAGTACAGAGTTTCTTGTTGTAATATCACTAAACACTACATCTTCAAACAGACTTTTTGGTGGAATATCACTGAGCACTACATCTTCAAACATACTTTTTGGTGTAATATCACTGAACACTACATCTTCAAACATACTTTTTGGTGTAATATCACTGAACACTACATCTTCAAACAGACTTTTTGGTGGAATATCACTGAGCACTACATCTTCAAACAGACTTTTTGGTGGAATATCACTGAACACTACATCTTCAAACATACTTTTTGGTGGAATATCACTGAACACTACATCTTCAAACATACTTTTTGGTGGAATATCACTGAACACTACATCTTCAAACAGACTTTTTGGTGGAATATCACTGAGCACTACATCTTCAAACAGACTTTTTGGTGCAATATCACTGAACTTTGCATCTTCAAGCAGAATATTTGTTGTAAAATAGCTTAATTAATGTAACATCGTAGAACGGATGGTAATGTGAAGAGACACGAATGCTGATGACAACATAAGCACCAACAACATAAGCACCAACAACATAAGCACCAAAAACATAAGCACCAACAACATAAGCACCAACGACATAAGCACCAACGACATAAGCACCAACACCATACACACCAACAACACCTTTGAGAGAGTCAAGAAGCTGCTATAAAGGAGAGCAATGAAATAATGTCGGGGGGGGGGGCAAGAAAGGATAACAGCATGCAATCGTTCTTTATTTCAGCCTACAAAAACTGCAAGAAAGCGATAACCTCTCAAGTGGAACAAAGAAGACATTATAAAACACAATTATTAGAAAAACTGTAATTAATGCAATTAGGACTTGGTCCATTATCAGACAAACAGAGATACTGATCAATACATGGGAGAGGAAAATCCTCTGGAAAATATACTGTCCAGTTACAGACAATGATGGTTTGAGAATCCGTACAAACCAAGAGAAATATCAAATGTAAGAAGACCCACCCATAGTGGCAACAATTAAAAAAGGGTGCACTGTGCTGGCCAGGACAACGTCGAGTTTGATTTATAAACACTTTTCAAATCGGTGTCTAAAAGTGTGAGTTACAATAATTTTTTTTCACTCATGGCGGTAAATTAGTAGTTAATTAAAATTATATTATACACACTTTTTTACATTTTATATGTACCGAAATAAACTCTATTGACAAACACCTTTTTTTTCAAATGTACTCTGGTCGTGGATCACTTTGCATTTTATATATATATGTGGGGGGGGGGGGTTGTCTTCAAACTTATTGAGAACCAGTGTTCTAGGGATACTGAGCTTAAATAAAAATTCGGCGTACTTGGAAAGAGTTAAATGTCCTTGCCTATAGAGACAATTTGTGACAATTTTTTACTTTAACAAACATACACACTTTTTTACATTTTATATGTACCGAAATAAACTCTATAGACAAACACCTTTTTTTTCAAATGTACTCTGGTCGTGGATCACTTTGCATTTTATATATATATGTGGGGGGGGGGGGTTGTCTTCAAACATATTGAGAACCAGTGTTCTAGAGATACTGAGCTTAAATAATAATTCGGCGTACTTGGCAAGAGTTAAATGTCCTTGCATATAGAGACAATTTGTGACAATTTTTGACATTGACAAACTGTGATAATCTCTGACTAAGTGAAATAATATAATAATTTCTTGTATTCAACATGCGTGGAGCCATGATTTACCGGACAGGCGAGATTTCCCTTGAGCTTTACATACAATAAATAAACAACCCGTAAAAACAAAGTTGTTCCTATAAATCCTATCTGTAATGTCAGTGCCGAGCTGTGGGGGGTGCTGCTGAACAATTAACAGAACACGCCTACACGTAACGCACTTTATAAGGATCCGAATGAGTGCAATCGTTTTTATCCCCTGCAATGTCTCCATCGAGCACTGACGTTCTTTTTTCTAGACCTCACGGGCGGTAACTCTGTTGCAACGCGAAACTTTTCTTGTTAAAAATGTGTGCGGCTTTTTTAATTATTTTAATTTTTTTTTTTTTTTTTTTTTAATTTACACCGTGGACTCCTCGTTGGAATGATATCCTATTTGTTAATTGACTTGTTAGTCCCCCCCCCCTGGGCTTGCTGCACGTCACGTCCTCTTTTGTTTGGTAGTGGTTCGTTCATCCCAAATATCCTTCCGCGCGTAGAATTCTTCAATATAAGCAGCCATTCAATTGACCGAGGAAAAAATCAATTTCAAATTTCTATTGTTTTAGGAAGGTAGTATCCACGGTTACTAAATTGAGTATGTTTGCTTAAGCCCCAAATAGGTATGTGTAAAGTTATGGCCGTATGGGGTACGTTCAAACTTATGTAAAACAGAGTAGCCTGCCCGTGGTTGCCGCCTACTTTTACCACTTTGTGCTGGTTCCGAAATCGTGTTTGTTGTTTCTAAACTCAATTCCAGTAAATTAAACAGGGCTAATTAAAAACACACGCCAATGATACAGTTTAAAAAAAATTAAAAAAATGTTCAACTCTTGCTCTGAATAATTTCTTTCCTCTCAATTCTCGTTGACGTCATCCGATCCATGTTTACTCAGCCAAGCCATGACAACCACAAATGATATGAACGCTGAAATGATATGCACCAACCCGTTTTCCTCTTTTATCTCCGAAAACATATTTTTTTCCTCATCGTGAACGTATCCCATAGTTATGACTAAATGGTTGCAGAATCCATCATAAGTCTCATGGAGGTGTGCAGCTTCAGCAGTTGAATTCCCCAAAATAATGAATTTTAGGTCGATTCCAGCATTTGCCAAATTTTTCAAAATCGGTTCCTTAATAATAATCATGCCCGTACTCGATTGTCATAGAGCGACAGAATATAGTTTTTTTGTTTTTTTTTCTTTCTTCTTTTTTTAATAATTTTTTAGTAGTGTGCAGAAAGTGGCTGTCGTGGCGACACAAAAAGCTATCGGCCCAGCAGCGATGCCCCATAATGTCAATGCGCCACTGTACATGGTTGAAGTCTCTATAAAAATCGTTTCCCACGAGATACCATTTTTATGCCTCGTTTCTTTTGGAGAACAGACTGCACTTTTGATGACTAAATGAAAAGGGGGACAATTCTGGTTCGCAGCTTGTTTACTAATGGGTGAAGGGAGATAATGTTGTTTTTCTTTCGTAATAAAAAAACAGCTGGATACGATAGCCGATGCAGTAGCTGAACTGGGAGTATTCTTGACCTAAACACTTTTAATTCATTCATTAACGATGAGTCTATGTTAAAATTTGTATGCCAATATAATTAAAAGAGTGGATGCAGTAAATGGTGATTAAAATAAGAATAACATTAAAGCCCTACCTATCCAGTATTGCAGTTGATGGGGGAAAACTCGACTTTTGAGGCATCAATTTAATCAGAGTAACAGTTGATGGGGGAAAACTCGACTTTTGAGGCATCAATTTAATCAGAGTAACAGTTGATGGGGAAAAACTAGACTTTTGAGGCATCAATTTAATCAGAGTAACACGTATTTCAAGTTAATCCCTCTATAAATTGATTTGCTTGTTTCCGAAAAATGAGACAGGTGGAAAATGAAAGGCTTTAAATACGTTTGAAGGGGTCGTCCATTAATTACGTCAACAACTGTTCCGTAATTTTTTACCCCCTCCCTCCCCCTTGTCAACAACTGTCAAACTTTCGATGACCCCCCCCCCCTATTTAATTATGTCAACATTTTATAATCCCTACCCCACGCCCAATATACATATATATATATATATATATATATATATAATATATAATATAATATAACTTTGTAAAGACGTTTTACAGTGTGCTGATGTACGGTATTTTTAATAACTTAAAATTGTAGGGAAAACATTTTATTACATCTTTTGCTTGTTAATCAACAAGTTAAAAAGTTTTTATACTTAAATTTTATAATGCAGAATCGATTAAAAGTTTGTTAAAGACTAAATATTTTTATGGTGGAATTATAAATATGATTATAGTCAGTATCGCTGACAATTATAGTATAGTTTCTACCTGCTATGATGTTCCCATGGAGTAGGCAGGTGTTGCTGTATCGTAATAATAGGCATCAGGGTAGAGCAGGGTGGCATTTCTCCCCCCCCCCTTTTTGATTTTGCTGGTTTTATTTAAATTGCTATGTACTGTGGCGCCTTCAGGAATAAACAACTTAACAAGCCAAACAAGTTTTGGTTCTGTCCCCCACGCCCCTCCCTTCCCTTGAAAAAAAACCCCGAAGTGACGCCCCTGATGGGCACAGTCTGTAGTAGCTAATTTATCATTTTCATCTTGCGGAACTGACATACCAGACAAGTCAGTTCTTAAAATCGAAGCATTGTCTGTGTGAGC